TCATGTATCTGAGTTCATGTCATGTCCAACAAAGTGTTGTTCAGGCAATCGCCCCGAATGAGAGGAAATTCATAAAGGTGAGGTATGGTAACTAAAGAGTTAAGTTTGTTTATACTTGTTTCATTACTATTGCCAGACTCTCAAAATATTACTTGATGTTCTTGGACATTATCAACTGAAAACAATGGCTATAAAGCACTCAAAGGTCAAAAGCCTATATAATTAGAGGAAATCAATTAGAAATGTGGTTAAATAGTGTCACTGCTGAAGTACTTTCTCTTGGATAAATAAAAAAAAAAGAATCATTCATGCTTTCCAACTTCCATCATTCTTGTTTAAAGCCCAGTTGCGACACTTTAAGAGACTTTTGACTTTTTCAGGTGTTTTGCACACAGAAGGGATGAAGTCATTAAGCACTGAAGTTCGTTTTGATTATGTCTGAAAACCAGGATTGCCTCCCCAGCACTGTCAGCCTGAGACACCTAACTCTGTTCTGCCCATGCACAAACCCGACGACGGTGTGAGCGGCCACCTCGGTCCCCAGCTGCCTGCCCCACCAGGGGTGCACACTGCAGCCGGTGGAGGGGGACACCTGCCTGAGCTGGCACTGCTGGAGGGGGGACGCAGTTTGTCAGGAATGGCTCACGTCCATGCGCCTCGCTGGCTGCCAGCCGGGCAGATTTTTGGCAACGCAGCTGCTTTCACTGACGACATGGTGACTTGACTGACAAAACTCAGAAGTTGTGAGAAGCTGACAGAAGCCTTCGGGGAGACCTTATTGCAGCCTTCCAGTACTCAAAGGGGGCCTATAAGAAAGATGGGGACAGACTTTTTAGCAGGGCCTGTAGCAACAGGACAAGGGGTAATGGCTTTAAACTAAAAGAGGGCAGATTTAGACTAGATCTACGGAAGACATTTTTCACAATGAGGGTGGTTGAACACTGGCCCAGGTTGCCCAGAGAGGTGGTAGATGCCCCATCCTTGGAAACATTCCAGGTCAGGTTGGATGGGGCTCTGAGCAACCTGATCTAGTTGAAGATGTCCCTGCTTATGGCAGGAGGGTTGGGCTGGATGACCTTTAAAGGTCCCTCACAACCCAAACTATCTATCATTCTATGATTCTATGAACTCAAGGAGCCCTGCACGGGAGACAGGCCTATGTGTGTTTGAAACACCAAGCGTGCATTTGCTTTTTGTTACATGAAGTCTGGCACAAAGTATTTGGCAAGCAAGATGAATATTGTGAAATACTATGCCACCATCATTACACACTGTCAGATCTTCTTCCATTGCCTTTGGGATTTGAAAGTACAGAAGAGCTGAACCAGTCTCCTGATTAACCAAAGCATGTAACCTAGCTCAAGTCACTGTGGAATGGCAGATACATGACAGAGAATCTCTGTGCTTTTTCTTAAAAGTACCAAAAATGGAACCGAAAACAAAAGTGAGGAGTTCCTCTTACATGGGAAATCCATTTTTTGCATCTTGTTGCTGTGAAGGGTCCAGCACTGTTCTAAGCATCCCGTCCCCAATCCAGCAAAGCGCTTCAGCACATCTTTTCCTTCACTTACTCGTTCATGTTAATGCCACTGTGTTCCATGGGCACCAAACTGTAATCCTAACATTTATTCATTCTTCAGGGAATATCTTCGCTAAACTGTTTCTACAAACACGTTAGTTAATCTGTTCATTTTTAAGTGCATTTTGCAAATGGGTGGACTTTTACGTATGGTTATGCTGACCAAAGACAACTCTTCCAGCACAGAAACACTCATGTAAACACTGCATTTCACACTACAAAGACTCAAGAACTCAGTCCTGAATGTACGAAGTCTAACTTCACTCTCATGATTGGTCCAACACATGTTTAAATGTTTGCAGAGTAAGTCCTTATGCGCTTTCCCTGGTTTTACTTTATAAAGTATTGCCAGATGAGATAGACTGCGCACTCAGGCTACCCTTGGAAAAATATGTTAGCTCTCAAAGGCTTTATTATCAAATCCTGGAGTTTTCAAGGCAAAAAAGAAATAGGGCAGGGAAAGGGCGGGAGGGGGAGCGGAGACAGACAGATGAATGGACAGAGTCATTATTCTATAAATTAAAATTTATGTGCTGAAATCAGAAGACAGCTAGAAAAGCCAGCTTCATTTATCCAGTCCCTTTCAAGGAGTTTAAAGTCACTTGAAAGAGCACTTCCCTCGCAGCCGTGCTCGACAGATTGCCAATTACAGCCCTGCTGAGAGGATGGAATTTCTTTGGAGTCATAACTGTATATCTGCCCTCGCAGTAACGGGCAAGGTACGTGCCTTTTGATTAGAATACCAAAAATATCTCTAAACTGGAAAGCTTTGTTTCCACACATCTGAATTTGCTGAGTATCAAAAAAAAAGATAAGCTTGTGTTTACATCCAGTTGACAAATTCAGAGGTTAATTGCTTCTAAAGGCAAGGTCAAAAGGATACCTAAACAAGGATCCTACTTAAGGAAAACACATGTTTGTAAATGCAATATGAAGAGCTTTCAAAGATATTACGGGGAGATACAGCATTGTCCATGCTAGCTAGATCTGTGCAACCTGGCACCTACAGAAAGCACTGTCAGATGTGCACTGGCAGTCTGAAAACCTACAGTAAAACTTGGTGACAGAGGAGAAAGTATCTGTGCGGTGGCTTCAGTTTAAAAGTTAAGCATCTGATGTAAGTTAGTCAGCTAAACTCCATCTATAGCCAACATGAGCCTCCAGCATGTCCTTTCTCCCACCTATCTGCAAAAAAATATCTCCCAGGAGGGAGCAAACCACCTTGTGTAGATGCTGATCTCACTTGACTAGAGAGGGGAACTAGACTTCTAGTGTACACCAACTGCCTAAATGTTGGATAGCTTAAATTTGGTGACATTAAGCCCACCTCTGAGGATTGAGTAACTTCAACATTTTGTGTCAGAGAGTAGCAATGTTATCACTCTTTATGCATCAGAAGGAATAGCCATGAGTTTAAAATCTGACTTCAAGAGGATAGAAATACTTCAGTCCTAGATGTAGTCCCTTAACAAGTACTCTTCCGCTTAAAATGAAGCACTTGCTTAAGGATCTTTGAGCTCGCATCTTTACCTCTGGGCAGTACGTAATTGCTCCTCTGGATTCAGCTGCGCAACCACACATCTTCCCAATGCTACAATATCGAAGTTACAGCGTTAGCTGCTAAAGGCCAGATACTGACTCTGACTGCTTGGAAAGGCTGGAAGAGCTGTATTGCTGCTATAGCTCTGCTCTATGTAACTCCTTCCAAAGGACTACAGTCCAACCAAGAAGCTGACTTCCACTGCCCATCCCTTCAGGCCAGGAATTAAACATAAGAAGCCAATGAAAGACTGCTCTGCTTTCGAGAAAACGAAAAGGAAACGAACCAGTAACAGAATGGAAAACTTCCCAGAAATGAGAAAAAAAACTGCCTCCAGGTTTGTCGCTGCAAAGCACTGCTGCTGGCTGACAGACCACAACATCACCTGCTGTAGACGCTCGCCTCCTGGACAGGACGAACCCTCCATTGCGGAGCTTGACTGGCTCTGCTGCAGAAGCACTGCTCCTCCCTCCACGGGGCCAGAGGGGAGTTTTGCTCCCACAGGACTTCATTGTCTGCTTCTTAAAAATGCTGTAATCTTTTTAATTTTTACAAATGTTTTAACTCAGTAAAAACTATTTAAAGTAAGGACAAGAAGGGCAATTGGTCAAAGGACCGCAGCATGCTTAATCTTTTGTCTTTCTGAGTTCCCGTGCACACTTGAAATAACTTTTGTTCCATTTGCAACCCACATGCTGACACAGCATCCCTCCCCTTTTCTGTTCCCAGATCCTGTTATGAGTTTATTCAATAAAAAGACAGATATTCATCTCTTTTCAAGTACAAGAACATGCTTTTGAATAACTCAATATGCGATACTGTAACAGTACTCCAAGCCAGCTCGTTTTAATCAGTTGTATCAACTTTCAGAGCGAAGCTGCCATATACGTATCATCACCTTGCACGTCTACCTCATGGGTATGTAAATATGAAGGACTAAATTCAGGCTGTCTGTTCTGCGCACAGGAAAAGAGGTGATCCCCGGGGATGAGGCTGCCCAACCCAGGTTCCTCTGAACCTCTGGAACCCACACCCCAGGTTCACTATGCGGCAAGCAGACTTCTTGGACAGTGTCTTTTAGCACGTACCCGGCCTGAAAATCCCAGCTAGAGTTGGGATGTTACTCGAGGAAGGAAGGAAGGAGGAGGAGATTTTACTACAGAGTGACACTCTATAAATACATAAACAAACAAACAGGCATATCAGGGAGGAATGCCCCTGGCTTCCTGCTCCTCACTGTCAGACCAGGGAGCAGCTCCCAGAGGCAAGAATGAGCAGGCTTCCCAGCTGTGTCCCAGGAAGAAAGGAGTTAGAGGGGGAAGACAGGATGAGGAACCAGGAACAATAAGACAGCGACCAGACCGACAGGAAATTGTGCAGGGGTGGGCAGGAAGCGGACGCTGGGATTCAGGGGAAAAAAAACAGCGGTGACAGAACCAGCAAGACTAACCGGCAGGTAAGGGAGGACCAAAGGCCTAGAGCAGACAAGACTGGTCTTGTGCAGTCCAGAGAAAATAAAGCATACAAGGACTGGTTTAGAGGCCGGGGACATAAGCAAGTATCAGGCTGGTGCGTGAGTGCGGGTGAAATTAAACTGAACTGTCCAACGGGAGCAAGGAGATGATGATTGTGATACGTGCAACAATTTCCCACCTGCCTTGGACACAGCGCTGGAAGTCACACATGAAGAAGCTCCTCCAGGCAAAGGGTTATGCATCTGTGAAACACTGGTGGTTCAAAGGGAAGGTAGTGCTCAAACCAGTCTCTTTGGTAAGGGATGGGTTACACTAGGAGTAGGGGTTTGATTGGTGCATGCTCTCAAGAAACATGAAGAACAAGAACATAACAGAGCAGTCAGGGAGGAGAATCGCATTCACTAACCTTCATATATGGTGATGATATGAGGGTGGCTGAGGGATGACATGATCTCAATCTCCCGTCTGATGTGAACCATATCTTGCTCATCCTTAATTTTGTCCTTACGAATGGATTTTATTGCAACCTATAAATTCAGGAAATCAAGCATTATTCTTGGAACTGAACAGATGCATATAATCCATTAAAGAGAGTTCAAAAAATAAATACACGTTAGATGTTGGCAGAACGTGGAATGACCAAAACAAAGACTTAAAATACAAACCTCCATGCCCCAGCTCCTTCATTTTAGAGCAATAAATACACTGTCGTTACAGTAAAGGGTGACATGAAGTTTTAGGGTCTTCAGGTCTTAGGACTTCACTGAAGGAGAACACAGCATCTTTTGGAAGGATCTCTGTGATCTGTGACTTCAGAGACAATTTCTCTGAAATAAGGCTGAGATCTCTGACGGAACAGAGGCAGGGAATCCAGGGTGCCAATTAAAAATTTGTATTTGTCCATGTTAATACATAGAGGATCACATTAATACAGGTTGCTCCATGGTTCCCTAAAGCAGGCAAACTGCTCAGGAGTTATGACTTATTTAAAAATCAGAAGAAATAAATCTTTGAAATTCAGATCTAAACTCGTCCTCATATAAACCCAAGGCTTTTGGGTTCTACACAGCACTTATGCAATCACTGCAAAACCATATCCTTCCTGCATCCTTCCTCAATCAGCCACCTTTTTTCAAGCACATCGTGTGACTGGGTATCTTTCCAAAAGGCAGGGTGGGAACAGAGGAAGTGATAGCTGAACTTGCAAACTGTAACACCCCTTGTGAGTGTGTGTTATGTGTGTTGCCTGTGAAAAAGGGGCTTATCTGAACAACGCCATAAATAATCACAGAGGTCAGCTCATGCCCTACAAGAAATGTAGAAGCCAACAATGGAGAGAAGCTGGTGGGAGAGGAAAGGTGAGGGCATTGTGCATACTGAATGGCAGCACGGCCTTTATTATACTCAATATTTACCCTGCTTTATTTTTGTAAGCCAGAGTTCAAGGAATAAATTACCAGCTACTTTAAAATCAACAGTAAGTCTTTGAAAAACATCACTGACCTGCTGAGATGACCACCCCTTTATGGGTAAACAACACTTCTGTCATTCTATGCAGCCAACTACTGTGGACCTCTCCTGGGAAAACATTTGTAAATCTGTGATTTATGTGATTTCCCTAGTTTCTTCAGAAAAAAATAATTTCAGTGCCTACTTCAGTAATTGCAAGTGGCATGACTGGTATTGTTTTTACTATATGATGTAGCATCAAGAATATTGAAGAAAGAACGGAAAAACTTACAATATTATAAAATTGAAACGTACATAAACAGGAGCTAGTTTAAAGGATCAGGTTTCCTACCAAGCCTTCAACTCTGAAAAGCAACATTGTTCAAAAAAGCATTAAGCACATGCCCCATCCCCTTGAATTCCGAAAGATTTCAGCACATGCTTAAAATTAAGCTCATGCTCAAGCACAACCCTGCTTTGGGACAGCGGAAGAAAAAAAACAGAACTCAAAGGACAAACTGATTTGCTCGTCAAAAACCCCAAAAATTATTTTCTGGCTCTTGATCCAAAGTATTTTAAAAGTAACAACATAACTATGGTATGATCTACATCACATACATTTCTAGAAAAGGTAGTACAACAGATTTTAATTGAATGAGTGATCAAGTAATTCTAGAGATGGAGAAGGCAACTAACACTAAAGATGAGGTTGGACTTTTCCTTGTTCCCATGTTTGCACTGGGACAGGCTGCAAATGCAAATACATGCTGTATACAAGAAGGATGTGGGTGGCTCTTGGAGCAGCATGTGCATGCCTGCAAGAAATAAATATAGACATGGGTAAAACACATTTTTTATTAAAAGACTGCCTTATACTTGGCTCTGAGGAAGAATTTAAGAAGGGGTTCATTGTCAAATATACAACGGGGAGCAAATTCTTCACCATTCATGGCTGCTAAAGTAATAACGGCACCCCAGAGGGCATGCCAATCTCCTACTAACTTGACTCTGTGCTCCACAGACAGGACTTTTGTAAGTCTACACATAATTACTGCAAATGGGCTCCGTGGAATAATTGCACACGTGAAAACATATTCTTAGATACAAAAATGCAAATGTGATTGAAAAGCGTGGTGGCACGGTAAATATATGTTTGGGTTAATCTTCAAATGCAAACAGATGTTCTGCCTGGGAGCATTTTTCAACAGGACTAGAGAGTTTACAGTCTCACAACCTGCGTTGGAAAGCGGTTAAGGCACCTAGGAGCCTTAATTTATAAAGGCTATTCCTAAAAGTTTAACTGAATTTTGAAGATGGTACTTAAGCTCTCCTGAAAAACATCTCTTCCCAGTTGCAGGGGTAGAATTCAGCAGCCCAGCCGAAGTAGTTGGAATTTTGTCAGTGACATCCAGGCTGCAAGACCTCATCCCAACACAAGGAGAGAACACACACCAAACACATCTCTCGGCGTTTAATATCCAAGACTTTCTCTTCCCTCCCTCAGCTCCTTCAGACCGCAGCGACCGTACCCTGCAAGCCCGAAGAACGGCAAGAGCGCTGTGGAGGAGGTGATGCCCCTCAGCCGGGGCACAGGGCCTTACCAGCACAACCACTCCATGCTGGAGCAAGGCTTCAGACCCTCGCATGTGCTAATGACATAGTACCACGGGCTATCTGCATAGCAAATGAGCGTGCTTGAAGCACAATGCAGCCATTTATTAATTAAACCCTGGGAGGCAAATAATGAAACAGCACTGTTCATCTGCTTTTAGGAGATGAGGAAATCGAAACGGAAAGCCAAGGTGACTCCTAAAGGAAACGAGGACAGCAGCATCTCAGAAACTGCTGCCTGCCTCTCCCTCCCAAACTGTACAACACATCACAGGTGTGCCTTGCTCAACAAACCATCCCGTTACTAAAGGCTGACTTCTGATACCTTTCCCCCATGTTCAGCTGCTATTCTTCCCCTCAGAAAGAGCCTCAGGGAAGTGAAAGGTTCAAACGCATCTCAGTAAGCACTGCTTACCCCGCGCCATCTGCCCGGTGGCCTGCACGATCCCCAAGTGGTCGGGCTCCACACCTCAGAGGCCACCAGGAGTGCACAGCCTTGCTGGTGACCTGGTCCGAAAGACCAGATAGCCAGCGGTCGCTGCTAGTGGAGCCACTGTCGGAGGCGGCACCCCAAAGCAAGATTCCAGCTCTTCCCCTCGAAGTAGGGATTTCTGCCCGCCAAGCGTTTGTCACCTGCATCAGTCTGCTCAGACCATGTCAGCAAAGGTACTTGGGCTTAAGTCTACTGAAGTGAAAAAAACAACAGCAACAGGAAAGCAGTCCAGTTTGGGGTTTTTTCATGTGACACTACGAGTCATGATCACATTTTAGGTATTTATTATATATTCCATTGTTTTCATCTCTCTCAGCAACATAAGATCCCTCGCTGGATGCTATGGTATCAGACTGTAAAACAAGTCTCTCTCCCAGGTATTCTAAAAAAATCAATAATGGAATTTCGTTCATGAAATGTATTTTACTCAGAAATATATTCCATAAAATACATTTTCAAAGTGCACTTATGCTTTTAACACCAGACAGAGCTGGCTCCGTTTTTCAAAACCCCACTTACAGGACTGCTGCCAGATACAGTACATGATGAACCTGAACAACTTAAGCCTAATAAGAAATAATCTCAATTGAGAAATACCTTATGAAAGAACTTGTTTGTTCATTCTTTAGGTCCTTTTCTTGCTTGCTTGCCTGCTTACTTTCCTTGCTTTCTCTGAAAGCAACAGCTCCACTGTGTGCAATATCAAAATTTATTAAGGGTCACAGGCTATGAATCAAGAGTAGGGCAAATGCTTTTTTACATCAGCTATATTAACTACTCCAAATACTCCAGCTCAAGATCTGCAAAGAAAGTCCTGTTAGTTCCTTCAGTACTCTCAGAACACTGTACTTATACCTCTACCACACTTTCTCAATATATTTTACTGCTTTTAAGACTTAGATAATTTAATTATAGTAATTTCAGTAACTTTACTAGTGGAAGACTTCGTATTTTTCCTAGCTTCTCATCTTAACGAGAATTTCAGATAACTCCAAGACCTTGCACTCAGAGTAACATATCGGATTCTTAATAATGAAATCTAAAGCCTCTCACCCCAACAAACCAGGTTCAAGTTCACCCAAAGCCCCTATAGACACAGTATCCAATCTGGCAAAACACTTAGCACATGCTTAACTTCACACGTGAGCAGTCCACTGGCTTTTGTGGGATAGCTCGCACATGTAAAGTTAAATATATGCATAAGCACCAAGGTCACAGCTCAGAAGTAGGCCATGTGATGGTCGCTCCAGGGATCGATACTGGCTGTCCACACCAGTAACATCCTCGGTGTCTCTTCTGCCGCTCCAACAGCGACATGGTCCCACACACGGGGTTGGAGGGGGAGAAAGGAGCACTGCAGATGGAGTGAAGCGATCTCCGCCTGCGCTGCCTGTTCTGCCACCAGCCTCTGCTCAGAAGGAGGCAGAGGGAATATCCTCTCCAAAACGTATGGCACAGGGGAGAGAAAGCAGAGGGTTGCGAACCTCCAGCATAGCCAGGCGTTTCCAAACAGCTCTGCACAAGCACAGCTCCTGCTCCACCGCGGCTCTGCCTTCCAGAAGCAGGTAGGAAAGAGGGAGCACAGCTTTTGGCTTCCCATTCCTCCATGAGTCAGCCTGCAGAGTTTGCTGGGCAGGAAGCGTGGAGAAATAAGCGGCTCTCTTCAAGGCTGCAATAAATTACCTGTCTCCGTTTGCTGGAAAGAGGATTTATACTCACCCTCTGAACTCCTGTAGAGAGATTATTAAGTATTTTCCAAAACACTTCATGCTTCTTTGCTTTTGTTTGGTACAAATAACTTGAATTGAACTATAAATACTTCAAAAAGATGACGGTTGCAGAGGTTTCTGGACATTCAGTCCTGTCTGTAAGAGAAACGTCTCTCCTCCTTTACGAGCTGCTCAGCTGCTGGGCCGAGCAAAACGGGTGGAATTTTCTTTTTACAGAGGCAGATCAGGACCATCACGTA